TCCCTTTGCTTTTTCTTGCTGCTGCTTCTGCTGAAGACTGGAACCTTCCCCACTTCCAAATGGTGAGTTTTGAAATAATTTTCTTATTAACGCTGTAATATTCCTGCACCCCTCCCCAACTGGACTACTAAAGGGGGGAGAAAAAAAAAAACCCGCTTAGCCTATGTGCTATTGCATGCTTTGTGCCAGACTCTGGAAAAAGATATCCGGTCTGTTATTATTTCTGCATTATTTTTTTATTTATTTTGTAGCCGAAACAATGAAATAATTCATCGCCACCCCAAACTCTTCCCCCTCTCCCCCCACCCCCGTAATCATTTCAATAGATCTGTTTTAGTTCATTTTAGTAAGTGACCTTGTTCAAAACAGTAAGGAACCTGCTGTGCCTTGCTTGTGATTTTAATCAAAAGTATTTAAATGGAATGTATTCTCTCAACAGAGTGGGTTCCTATAGAAGCTCTTTCCTTCCACCTGTGTGTCCTGTTTTATAATCTTGAACCCTGACGTGAATTTGCCTGCCATTCTTTTTCCATTTCTTTTTTGATCCCTGTTGTTGCAAGAAATAGTTTGTGCGCCCCTCTCAATCCCTGAGACCCTAACTTGTGATGTTTAGCTTTTAAATCCACGGGTTAGGCTCTTGGGAGCTGTGAGTTGTGCTTTGGCATCTTTATTTTACTTTACTTTCCTTTGTTTTGTTTTGTTTTGTTTTTTTTTGCATTTAGTAGAGAGAAAACTTTAAGTAAAACGGGGACCTTTCTTCGTTGGCTCTGATCAGCTAACTGTAGGGTAGGGGTAATATTTATTATGGCCGTTTACCTTGAAAATATGATCTCCAATTAACGCGTGCATGTATGAGAGAGAAAGAACCATACGTGCGTGAGATGCATTTATAGATAGGGTCTGTGTGTATGCATCTGTAGCTGCACACAATACGTGCATGCATGTGCATATATAGATAATGATGTGCGTAGACGATACAGATGTAGACGATACAGATGTATATGTATGAATATGTATAAAGGTAGATGAAAAGACCTGGGTACGTGTGTATATTTACATGTGTGTGTGATTTCATGTATATAAATCCGCCTGAGAGAGAGGTTTGCATTGCTGCAGGCCAGTGAATATAGCCTCTACCTTTTTTTTTTTCTTTCTTGAGAGCAACACACAGTACCCTGAGAGCGTAACAGTAACAGCTCGGTACCTTGGTGCTTGACCTCAGACCAGCTCAGCTGAAATCCCAGCATGCCTCATGCTTCCAAGTTTAAAACTGAACGATTAATCTTAGAAATGTGCTTTATGGAGAAAAAAAAAAAAAAGTCAGGACGGGTTGGATCCTTTTAATTGTTAGCTTGAAAATAAACCAAACAATAAAATGCATATGTGTACAAACGGTTCCAAATTGCTATTCTTCCCAGCAAATGCTGAAGTTTGTTTTAGTCCGTACAACTCCAACTTTCCAGGCTTTAACCTCAAAATTGTGTGTAAATGATGAAGCAGAAATCAGCAATGTTAAAATGTTCCCACTGTTGTTTTTTTTCTTTATTAGATTTTTATAATGCTGTAAAATTAATTATGGTTGCAACTGTATTTCTTATCTCTGTTCTGCCAGGCAATTTATAATGAAGTTACTGTACCTTTTTATGGCACCGAATGATTGTTTTATATTTGAATGCAAATGCTTTATTTTAAAACACAATGCAACAAAAATATGAATTGATGGTGTAATATTTCAGTTACTTATCAGTTTATGATATGTCTGGACTGGAAAAGCTTTATTTCTTTTTCTCTGATATTATATTTTCAAGGACTCTGAGCTCCATTTCAGAAAATGCAGACAGAATTTTACCACTGAATTGTAAAGCCTTCCAAATGTGCTATAATTTCATTATCAAGCTATAAATTTGTCCTAGATTATATTTAATTTCCAGTACCTTTTTGGTGTTTAAATCCAAACGGAATATGCTAAGGGCTACTAAACCTTTGTGCTATCCGGCTATTGATTTCACACCTGAGATACGTGGAAAAATGTCACTTTCCCTTTGAAATATGTTACTAATTAATTTGCAATCCTTATTCTTCAAATGGCAGGGGGAGAGAAAAGACCATTTTGTCTGCGAGAGTCGAAATGGTTGTACTCCAACTAATTTAATGTATTTGCGCTGAAATCTCTTCCGAAGCCATGTCATTTTAAACAATGCCATACAGTCTTTGGAGGACGAATTTGAAAAAAACAAAAAGAGAGCTATTCACGTTGCACTCTGGCTAGGATAGTTATTTTCTTTGCACCTATACCACAAATCCGATTGTGTCGAATGTGTATCTGTGTTTCAGTGCGAGACAGCAGGGCCTGATCCCAAGCCCATTGAACAAAAGGGAACTCCTGCCATTGATTTTGAAGGATTTGGATCGGGCTCTGAGCTCCGTAGCAAGAAACAATATCTGCTAGTGCATGTTTTATATATCTGCTACAGGCTACAGAAAGGACCGTGCCTTCTCTCTCAACCTTGGGATGATGATTTGTAGGTGCAGTCGGAGAATGTGGGGAAGGGCAGATGCGCAAAACAATGCAGAAGCTTTTATATCTATCTATCTATCTATCTATCTATCTATCTATCTATCTATCTATATATATATATAATAAAAGCTTCTACATTGTTTATATATATAGATATAGATATATATATGTCAGAATATAGATATAGGTATAGATATAGATATAGATATAATCGGAAAGGCTCCTTTTGCTGCAGAGGCAGGTTCCTCACCCCTCCCTCTCGAGCACATCACTGAAGTTCAGTGAAATGAATAACATAATTGGTAGTTGGTTCAATCACTACTAGTCTAGACTAGCCCAGACACATCAATTAGAGGGAGCTGTCTTTTTAAAGGGATAGTGCAACCGAAACAAGTAAGGCCTTATTGATACAGATCTCCCCAGCTTGGCTGAAATTTGGGAAAAAAAAAAAAAAGGAGGGGGTGAACAAAATTGGAGCATTTTTGGAACATAGAAGGCAAGAAACCTGAGAGAAAAGGAGGGAATAAGCACCGAAACAGATTGCACTCCCGCCCCATCACCAAAACCTACCAGCACATACTCCCTAATTCAGAACACAAGGGACGCAGGTTCAGTGGGGTTTCTGAGCTGGATTTGTGCACGTGTGATCTTTGAGATGTCAGTGTTATTGAAACTTAATTACATTATAAATATCAGGAGAGTGCTATTTCTCTGTAAACCAACAGGAATCGACCCCAAATTTATCCAACAGCGTTTTTCCTCGCTGCAAACAAAATAAAGGAGGTGTGTAGGTATATACTGCCAGGCTCTGATTGTCTTCTCTTTGATAAAATGATAAAACAAAAGTCATCCCGCAGATTTTCTGGACCCCACCAGAAGTCCCTATAAAGTAAATGATGAAAAGAAGGCTTATGTTACGGGCCAAATTACCGAGAAAATAGCTTAGCATTTATTGGGTGGATTAAAAATTAGAAGCAATAAAGAGCCAAGCCTGATTTTCGTGAGTGTTGAAGACGACGTTCAGTCCTGAGAAAAGGAAAATGCTAAATTATTTGACTAAAAACACATAGAATGAGATGTAACATAACATGTTCCAAGGTAATCTGTGTAATACCTAGCATGTAAATTAAAAGGAGGGGTGGGGAGGAACCCAGCCCTGCGCGCCTGCCAACATCTTGACTGGAATAGTGCACTCCCAAAAGATGCTAATTTAGCACGTACCTTTGGCCAGATCAACTAGGAATTTGGACTGAGTAAGGACCGCAGGATTCGGCCCTGCGACTTCAGACGGGTTAGAGGTCCATCAGAACATGCTCTGCTAAGCTGCAAGGAGCGGTTTCTGGTGGGGCCAAAAGGTGGAAGAGCTTGGACCGTTCCAAAATTGTGCTTTGTTGCTCTTTTCTCTAAAGGGCTGTAGCAGTACAAAAGGTTGCACAGTGCCATGGTGCAGACATGGAGAATAATTGAACTACCTAATTCCTTCCAGGGAACTTCAGGATATTATTGGGCCAGTTACCAAATTATGCAACTCGCCCACAATTAAATGGCTGGTGCTGATTAGATGATTGATTAAGTCTTAATTGATTTCTGATTTAGCACATAAAGTCCTGGTAAGCCAACTGCAGCTGAAAATGAGAGAAAGTATAGTCTGTGTGTAGTTTTATTTTTTTTTAAATTAACTCTTTAGTTCCCATATAACAAAGGCATCTTTGGCCATAGTTCAGTTCTTCTAAGTGGTAAGCTATTCGTATACAGATGTAGGTACACTAAAACTCACTGCCATTGGAAACTACCGCACCATAGAGAGAATAAGAAAATAACTATTTGTCTTCTCTGTTTTTAGACTCGATTGAAATAATTGTGTTCTCAAACAATTTAAACTGATTTATGGCTTTTTTTCTTCATGTTTTTTTTTTGCTGCCCCTATTTGCTTCTATTGGCTATGTTGCAAGTAAGCTGGTACGTGAATGTGGGGTTAAAAAAATCACATGAGGTTGACCAAACCCAAAAAGGTAGAAGTTTTTTAAATGCTGTCTTGCACCTCTGAGAGAAGCTGATGCTCATCCTGTTGAGAAGTCTCTGTGCTGTCCTGCATTCCTGCAGCCCAGCCTTTTTCCCAGCCCTCAAAGTGAAAGAGCATCTCAGCTCTTCTTCAATCTTGAGAACACACACATTGTTTCAATAATCCAGGCAATAAATGCTAATTAGTAATGCTCAAGGACCCTACCAGTCAGAGTAATTATCATAATTTACCTCTTCCTTGTTAAATACATTCCCTGCTGATTTAATTTTTTTTTGAGGCAATAGTTTGACTATTGCTTCTTCCTTTGAAAAACCTTTCCCATTGCATTAGACATAAGTATGTGTGTGTATAATATCTGTTGCAACGTGGAAACACACTTTGCTCATTGGACAGGAATTGGAGATATAATTTTGCAGGTGGGAAAATCTATAGACATCATTCTATTTTAAAACTAAGATTTTTCCCTTTCCCTTCCTTTTCTGCCCCCCTTCCCATCACCACCAAAACCCACTTACTGAGGAGAACAAAGGAAATCACTAACTATAAAGCATCATTAAGTATGAACAGCAACAGCAAGATAAAGTGTATGATATGACAACATATTTTATTGCACAAAACTAGCGATAATTAAATAATTCAGTGGTATTCTTAGCTAATTAACACGCATCTTTCAGAAGCCATCAAGAAAATGGATCTCATCAAATCTTATACTATGCGGCATTTCTCAAAGATCACATATTTTCCAATGTTGCTGCTATTGTACAAACAGATACCAGAATATAAAGTTTACAGATATGTGCAGGCTGAATCAGGCTGGCTTTCAATATGCTCCTTTTGTACATGAAGGGATCAGACATTTGTAGGCAGTGACTGAAGACGGCAGGCATATCCAATGTTAGTCAATAATAAAAATCACAGATTGAGAGAATGGGTACTTTTAAAAATTGATCTCTTTAAAGGAATCATTATCAAGATGAGGTTCATTATTGCGTTGAACATTATGGCGCTGGCTCCTTTTGATTTATAATTTGCACACATACACAGGAGTTTGAGATCTTCTGACATGGCTCACTGGGATCTTAGATTGCCCATTTTCTGCTTTCCTAACATTTAGAAACATGTCTACCAACTTCCAGAAGACGTTGGAGATCTCTTCATTTTAATTTGGAATCCAATTAAAGGGCCAGATTCTGATATTATTTGCACCAAATATAACTCTGAAGCAACTCCATTTATCTTAGTGGAGTTGCCTTAGTTTTACCGTAGGGTAAAGGAGGCAAGAATGTGACCCATGGTCTTGGGGAAACACTTTTTGCTCCAGGTGTATGGGGCTTCATGCAGAAACCAGGGGCTACGCATAAGGAACATGGCTATCACAGAAAGAGAGACTGTCTGCGACTAGTGTACAGCAGAGCAGACTAGACAAGCACCTGCAGGGCATTGGTGCTGCTATTGGAAATCTCTATGGTTACCTCCTTTCAGCTAATAATATATGATGCATCTAATACCTATTAGCTTCCAGTACCAACATTTATGCACTCTTTTGCGGGATACATTGGTTAACTTGGATTTGTACGTATTACTCATTCCATATTACTCATGCCTACACTAAACAAATGGAAGTCAATACCATTTGACAGAAAATTAAGCATACGTTGCTGTAAGTAAATGCCAATATCCTACTCACTATTTAAATAATGGAAAGGGCATATGGCTTAGGGTTTAGATGCAGTATTTTTACTGCTTCTCCTACTGGCCCAAAACAACAAAGCTTTACTCACATGAACAGTTTTGTCTGCCACTGACTGCCAGACTACTCAGACAAGTAAGTGTTATAGGGTGTCTTGAATATCTCTTTTATTTATATATATCAAGGTAGTACCGAATGACACAAAGTGAGTTGGCCCCATTGAGCCAACTACTGTTCAAACATATAGTAAGACCATCTCTGCCATGTAGATATGACAAACTACACTAGACAACAAAGGATGGGTGGGGAAAATGAGGTATGGAGATGGGAATGACTTGTCAAAAGACACAGAGAGCAGGTCACTGGTAGAGCAAGGTATAAAACCAAGGTTTCTTGGCTTGGAGGCCAGTACCCTTTCCAATGGGCCATGCCACCTCTCCTACTGTGTATATATGCATGCATTTATTCATCTTAGGAGCAGGGTCATTATAAGAAAGGACATGAATTCAACATACCAAGGAGCATTTTGAATGCAAGCTTAGCTACTGTTGGGAACAAACACCAGTTATTTAGGTAAGCAAGTCACGTTCCTTTTCTAGATGTTCCTGAGCCAGTTTTTTTTTTTTTTTTTTAATTCTAACCCCATGCTCCAGCAATTGCAGCAGGTGTGAGATGAGCATATGGCTAATGTGAAAACATTGTTATATATCTAATTTTCAAGGAGAAAGCATAGTCTCCCTCGCTTAAATGCAACAGAACATTGAGTTGTTTCGGGAAGTCAGAGACCCTACAACTGCTGTCCTTTAACAGAGCTGTTCCAACCCTAACAGATGTATTTGTAATTTACTCTAGCACGACAAGTTTGACAAACATTTTGTCTATGACATTTTGTTTTGCTGGATCTTCCGCCTATGCTGCAGTGTATTCTGCTCACAGAGCCCTGAGTTTGATGACCTCCGGTGGTGTCTTGATGGTGTGAACCAATGGTAACGGGCGATTTAAGCTGTATGTGCTTAAAAACAGAAGGTCAGTGTATAAAGGATGAGCATGGGTCTTGCTGTACAGTCTGCACTTGATGTGCTGCCCTGCTGTCATGGGTAGTAACTACTGATCACGGATTGCTTGGACTCCTAAGAAACCAGTGGTCAGTTGACCTCAGCAGATGCCACCTCTCCAACCATGACTGCTAATGTAAACTCAAAGCAACGGCCAGTTGACCAACCCAAGTTGATGCTGCTGTGTTGGCTGCAGCTGGTTGATTCTGCAAAGCTGTAGAAGATGGGCATCATTTGGAGTTGTGTGTGCCAAAGAGGTGGATAAGCAAAGTCCAACGGGCTAGACCGTCCCCAACAACTCCCTTTGGCCATCACAAGAAGCTGCACTGATGGCCTCTGCTCCCCAGCGTTTTGTTGATCACAGGGTGCGGGATATTTCTTGTATGAGAGGAAAACCTGCTTCTTCTGCAACGGCACCCTAACAAATAATCAAGAAGTGCTGTGGATCTTCTGAATGTCTGGAGCTGGCCCCGCTAGGAGAACTCTGCCTCTGTAAAGCTTGAGGCTTGCCTGAACTCTAGCTACACCAGGAGGGACAAGAGCTTGCTAAAAATATGGGTGGACTTGGTTTTCCTGTGCACACATGCTTGTATCATGTCTGAACATGCAAAGAATATAATTAGCTATTCCCAAGGAATCCAGTAAATGGTGAATCTGCAAACCAATTGCCTATTTGTGCTTGTTTCATTTGATCACCCCTGAGGGCCTCATCTTGCCTTCAGAGCATGTAGTTTCCCACAACAAAAGGTGGATTGTTGTAGCGTTGGGCTCCTTGAGCTTCCTGGGGAAAGGCAAGGTGAAAACCAAAATGGGGCGGACAAGATGGGCTAATATTTGGGGTATTTCACATATGCACACACTAGGAAAAAAACTAGAATGGCCAAACTTTTCCTTCCGTTCTACCTGTCTGTCCTAGCCATTGCGCAGCCTGGGGCAAAATAAATTTCACCAACTTCTTCCCTCCCACATTCACATGCTTAATGGTACCATCATCAGAAACTGCTGTGAAAGAAGCAGCTCTAGAAATGCCACTGGTCTGATTTTACTGTCCTGGACAGTTGCCCCGTTTGTTCATATTTTGGGCCAGCCTTGAACCCATCAACGTACTCTGGTATACAAGGTCTATATTAAAAGCTATCTAAATGTATTAGCTTTAATCTGCAGTGCATGCCATAGATTATTCCAGAAATTACATTACCTTTGGGGCTTGATTTTTAGACTGTGCTCCATTTGCTCATGTGGAATAGCACCTGTGATTGCATTTTGGCATGAGGGACAGGTTTGAAACACAAATTGAGACCATGTTGAAAGACACTTTTGAAACTTCGGCTCCTTTTTTGACCATGAGTTGTCAAAGCATTCAGTCCCCACTCAAACAAAATGAAAAATCAGTTAAAACAGAGATGGATTGATTGATTGATATAAAATGCAGTACAATCATGGCAATATGCTCTGGTGCTATTTCAAACTTGTTCAATATGTTTGTGCTCTCCCTGAAAAGAGGTCAAATCTCTGATGTTTGTAAAGCCATGGGATGTAGTCTGCACTTGTTGAGGTGAATAAAGTTGATTGTACCATTTCCCAAGATAAATTTTGCCCAAAATCCGGTTGAAAAACAGTTCGGTCCACATGAGTAGACCCTTGGGCTTGTATGGAGCCCTGTGGAAATGATGGAGTGAATGCCATGGACATGTATTCGGTGGGCCAAAGGCAATATCATGAGGATCTGGGCTGAAGTGAGCACTGCCCATGTATTTCAATGGACTTGGCCACGTCACTAGTAAAAAACCACAGTACAAGCCAGTGGGGGAGGTGAGCTCACTGTATTTATCTTTCAGCTGAGACATTAAACCCAGGGACCCTTGTGTGGCTCAGGGACAGATGTCCAAGGAAATGGTTAGTTTTCCTTGGTACATTTTGTGTATCATTTTGTTGTTTTAATGTACAAAATGAAAAAAATATATATTTTTGGAACTAACACATCTCTTCAACTGTAAGGACAAAATAGAATGAGGTATATTCCATCTTGACCTGCACCCTGCTTCCCAGGGTAGAATTTGGCTTTGCACATGCACTGGGGAATACCATGTGGCATAACATTATCACCAATAAGGGACACTTTACATGGGTATTTATTCCTATAAAAACATGGATCTCACAATGTAATTTTAATAATGATATTTAAACCTTCCACAGCACTTTCCATCTGAGGATCTCAAGGCACATTATGGCTTGTACAGAGTTAAGCTTCACAAACCCCTTGTGAGAGGTAGGTACAGGCTACCTCCTATGTACAAATGGGGAAGTCAGGTATGGAGGATGAAGGCCCACACTCACTGTGCTAAGGCCCTTGCTAACACGGGTTAGGGCAACAGCACTTCTCCTCTAGAGCTCAAAGAACCGATGAGTAAGAATGACAGAATGGAGGTCCAAATATCCTCCGTTCTTGGACGCTCTTGTTTTTCAAATGCCTGCCTCCTAGTGCTGTGGGTTTGCTTTCAAAAGGGCTGAGGAGTTGAGTACTCAAGGTCAATAGAAGCTAGGTACTCAGCCTCTGTGAACAAGTATATCCAACTTTAATCCATTGGCACCATTGAAATGCTTGGCCAATCGACTTGCCCAAAGTCTGTGACAGAGCGGGAAACAAAACCTCACTCTCCTGCCATCTAGTCCTTTGCTTTCACCATAAATCCCACTTTTGCTCCTCAGTGCAGTAACAGATACAACCTCTAGCTGAATACATCTTTGTTTTTTTAAATATTGCTTTACAGCTATTCTCATACGCTGCTATCAAGAATGTCCTGCGATACAGCAAATACAGCAGTTGAGAAAAAAAGGTGGCCCTCCAACAGTCCCTAATTTATTTAAATCACACTTGTGGAGACCAGTAACTACCACCTTCTGCTACCTAGTATCCCTGAGATCAGTTAAGTAGCGTCTGATACTCAAAGCTGGGGCAGCTACAGTGGAGAGCATTAATGGGCCTTACGCTCCTATCTCCATAAGGAATGCAACAAGCTAGGGAGCTATCAGCAAAGGAGCCTGATTCAAATATAGTAGCAGTGCCAGTTAGTCCTTAAGTGGCATCCAAGGTCCCAAACATGCCACAATTTTTTGTGTTTAGCACTTATTGCCATATTAAACTCCAGGGGACAATAGATGTGAACACATTAGAGACAGATATTGGTCTCTTCAAAATGAAGGCCTAACTTCCAGACTTGTAAAGTTTTTGAGACCTTTTGTATATAAACGTGCAGGGAGAAACCTTGGCTCTATTGAAGGCCACAGCCAAACTTTCATTGACTTCTCAAGGTCTGAGGTATTACAAATGTTATTCTCTTTTTAAATGTACCCAGACCTTGTTTCCCCTTTCTTTTATTTCTACAGTGAGGTAAAGGGAGCTGGGAAAACCATCTTGAAATTAGTGGAGGGAAAAAAATTTTAACAGTTGGAGAAAAGTAAGGTAGAGCTTTCTTCTCTGGATCACATGCCGGACAGGAACCGTATTAAATCTGGTTCTACTGTACTACACTCAGGGGAGTTAATCCAGATTTATGCTGACATGACCCAGATTATATCCTGACCCTATTTTTTTTATGACAGTGACATTTATGGGCTTGGCTTGGGAGGTCATTGTTTTTATTGCCTCCATTTTTTGTGTTTCTTGTTCTTTTCGTGCATAGTCTCCCACTATAGCCATCACCCCCTAAAACAGAAGGAAAAAACGGTGCTAGACTTGGTGGAAAAAATGAAGGAACAAACAAATAAAAAATCCCCCAATTATCATCAGACCATTTATTCTTAAAAATGGGAGCTTTGCTTGTGCAACTATGCTTCATCTACTGGACTAAATACATTTGCAATGGTCAATAATAGCAGAACATATGGATAATAGTCTGAGCACTTAAATATGCTCAGTGAGCTTGCCTTCCCCATGCATTCCTTATTTCTTGAGGGTTTGGTTATATTCCTTGCATCTGATTAGATAGCCCCATATTTAAAGCCCCGTATCTTTTCTCTAGTAAATGAGGAATGATTGCAATAGAAGTTACACGTGTAAGAGACAAATTCATCCTTGATTTAACCTTATTGCAGTCAAGAGAATTATTTTGACCCAGAGATTGTAAAAACAGATGCTTTGACACTAAAACTAGAACGGATCCATTAGAAGCTTGCTCCTGCTGACATTTGCTAACTCTATTCCAGTAGGCATTTGTCTTTCCATACCAAAAACAACTTGGGATCTAGATTTAATCCACTTTGCAAAGATTGCTAGTGCCATGGTAGCAGTTTGCTAGTCAAGACATGAGCATTGTGGGGGGACTTCAAAAAGCCCTTCTCTGATTGGCACATCTAAGAGATTAATGCAATGTATGATGGGATCTCATCTTTGTTCCTATTGCTTTTCTCTGACATCGAAGTCTTTCCTCAATTATTTTCTAAGATGCACGATTGAAAAATCACCCCTAAGATGAGCTCGACCTTCAAATAAGGCTCCTTCATAGCTTAGATATATGCTGCGAACCCTTTATGCTGGCCCTTTGCACAGGGGTGTGGGAGGAGAGCGGATTTTATCTCCTGACCTTTCCAGTCACACCGCCAATACATTCCAGAAGCATTTTTCACTCTCTGTCTATTAGCAGGGAAGTTCACTGAGGCAGGGAGGGACCTTGGCTGGTTGTCCTTGTCCCAAAAGGTCCATGCACATGTGGAGACGTTGCAGAAATAAGAATTGAAAAAGCCAAGTGACTTGGACAAGAATGTCATTATCAGACTCAGATTTAGGACTCAAGATCTGCTAACACCTGCTCCATTGTGCCGCATACAACATCATGTGCCTTGGAACGCAGCAGGAGACTCGGTGAAGTTTTTCAGGCCAAAGCAATGATTTCCTACAGGTCACCATTCCCATTAGTTCAAACACTGATTTAAAAGCCAATGCAGTAGCCAGTAGGATTCTCAAACCACTGACATGCTTCCACCCAGAAGCTTCATTCGAAGTCCCAGGGCCAGCCCCTCATACCTCTTTGCTCTCAGCAGCGGTTTGTGGATTCGCACCAGCTGAGGCCTTCCCTGAATCTATTGAGACTGGGCACTTCAAAGTTTGTGGCTGCACTGCTTACATGGATCGCTGGGACTCTGGATTAAGTCCTGTGCATATCTGCATGATTATAGTGTCAAACAATTTGAAAGTAATTCTTGTAGCTGCTAAGTGTCAAATGAAAAGGTTATTTCTGTACCTACTGTACGTTACTGATCCTTGCTTTAACAACTTTGGAAGTGGAATAACAGATGTTCGTGGCAGCTAATGCATTTAACTAGGTTCTCCTCTCTGAACAGTCTTTGGGTTGCCCAGCAATGACCACATGGAGCCAATCCATGGGGGCATCTTGGATTCCTTTTCTTGGCTTCCCAGTGCTCGCAACCTGCAAGCTTGTATTTATGTGCTGAAGTGCCCAGCCCTTAGGGTGACACATGTAATTTTTCCAAATTTGGAACTGATACAAAACTTCCTGGAGCTAGACAGAAGCAGCAGATCAAAGACAGACGTGAACGTCCCACGTTCATTTCATGGAATAACCCCAAAACCTAATGGCGACAATTCAAACATTAACATTATCTACTAACTATTTCACTGCTGGTAATTTTCCACAGAAATATCTAG